ACCTAACTAACCTAACCTAACCTAACCTAACCTATTTTTGGTTTCTTTTTAATTTTTTTTATAATTTTTTTTTTTTTTATTTTTTTTTAGATTTTTTTATATTTTTATATTTTTAATTTTTATATAATTTTTTTTTTTTTTTTTTTTTTTAATTTTTTTTTATAATTTTTTTTTTTTTTTTATAATTTATTTTTTTTCTTATAATTTTTTTTTTATAATTTTTTTTTTTTTTTTAATTTTTTTTTTAATAATTTTTTTTTTTATAATTTTTTTTTTTTTTTTTTTTTTTTTTTTTTTTTTTTTTATATAATTTTTTATGTATATATATTTTTTATAATTTTTTTCATATAAAAAAATAAAAAATAAATAAAAAATTATATATAAAAAAATAAAATCATAAAAAATTAAAAAAAATTATATAAAAAAAAAAAAAAAAAAAAATTAAAAAAAAAAATATAAAAAATTAAAAAAAAAAAAATTATATAAAAAAAATTAAAAAAAAAAATAAAAAAAAAATAATAAAAATAAAAAATTATATAAAAAATTAAAACAAAATTATAAAAATTAAAAATTATATAAAAAAAAATTAAAGAAAAAAATAATAAAAAAAAAAAAAAAATTATAAAAAAAAAATTAATAAAAAAATTATATAAAAAAAAATAAAATAAACAAAAAAAAAAATAGGCCAAAAGGGTCGGGTCGGAGTCGGAGTCAGGCATAAAAATTTGAGTCAGGTGGGACTCCGGGGTTTTAATCTTCGACTCCACAGTCCTGGTACCTACTGAAATTTTAGACAATCCATTTTTTGGCCAAAAATAATGACAAAAAAATTGTAAGTCTAAAGCCTTAAAGGATTTTTGGCCAAAAATACGTTTTCTCTCTGAACTAAAATTTAATATTGCTAACTATTTAAAGTACATCAAGAATAATACGGCACAAAATGACCTCGAAAACCCATAAGTGGCGAGTAATTAGCATTGCAAAAAATAATTAAAATATTTACAAAAATCATTTGAACATTTTCTAAGCCATTTGAACAAGTTATAATCAAGATAATAAATTTTGGTTAACGGAATCCTTAAACATAGCACATTCAGGTACCTATACTGAAATTTTGAACAAATCCATTTTTGGCCGAAATGACGAAAATTGTAAAGTCTATAGCTGGCAGGATTTTGGCCAAAATACACATTTTCTCTCTGAACTAAAATTTAATGTGCCTAACTATTTAAGTACATCCAGAATAATACACAAGCACGAAATGACCTCGAAAACCCATAATTGGCGAGTAATTAGCATTGCAAAGTAATTAAAATATTCTAAAATCATTTGAAAATTTTCTAAAAAGCCATTGAACAGAGTTATAATCAAGATATCAAATTTTGGGTTAACAGATCATACTTAGCATTAAAATTTCCTATCACTGAAATTTTGAACAAAATCCATTTTTGGCCGAAATGACAAAAAATTGTAAGTTTAAAGCCTTAAGGATTTTGGCCAAAAATACTTTTCTCTCTGAACTAAAATTTAATGTTGCCTAACTGTGCCTAACTATTTAAGTACATCAGAATAATACACAAGCACAAGTGACCTCGAAAACCCATAAGTGGCGAGTAATTAGTTGCAAAAGTAATTAAAATATTCTAAAAATCATTTGAACATTTTCTAAAGCCATTTGAACAAGTTATAATCAAGATATCAAATTTTGGTTAACAGATCCTAAGCAGCATTCAGAGTACCTATACTGAAATTTTGAACAAAATCCATTTTTTGCCGAAATGACAAAATTGTGGATTTAAAGCCTTAAAAAGGATTTTTGGCCAAAAATACTTTTCTCTCTGAACTAAAATTTAATGTGCCTAACTATTTAAGTACATCAGAATAATACACAGGCACCAAAACGACCTCGAAACCCATAAGTGGCGAGTAATTAGCATTGCAAAAGTAATTAAAATATTCTTAAATCATTTGAAAATTTTCTAAAAGCCATTTGAACAAGTTATAATCAAGATATCAAATTTTGGTTAACAGATCCTTAAGCAGCACATTCAGGAGTACCTATACTGAAATTTTGAACAAAATCCATTTTGGCCGAAATGAAGAAAATTGTAAGTCTATAGCCTTAAAGGATTTTTGACCAAAAAATCGTTTTCTCTGAACTAAAATTTAATGTGCCTAACTATTTAAGTACATCAGAATAATACACAAGCACCAAGAAATGACGTCAAAACCCATAAGTGGCGAGTAATTAACATTGCAAAAGTAATTAAAATATTCTAAAAATCATTTGAACATTTTCTAAAAGCCATTTGAACAAGTTATAATCAAGATATCAAATTTTGTTTAACAGATCCTTAAGCAGCATTCAGAATTACCTATACTGAAATTTTGAACAAAATCCATTTTGACCAAATGACGAAAATGTAAGTCTATAGTGTAAAGGATTTTTGGCCAAAAAATACGTTGTCTCCTGAACTAAAATTTAATGTGCCTAACTATTTAAGTACATCAGGAATAATACACAAGCACCAAGAAATGACCTCGGAAACCCATAAGTGGCGAGTAATTAGCATTGCAAAAGTAATTAAAATATTCAAATCTTTTGAACATTTTCTAAAGCCATTCAGACAAGTTATAATCAAGATATCAAATTTTGGGTCACACATCCTTATGCAGCACATTCAGGAAGATACCTATACTGAAATTTTGAACAAATCCATTTTTTGGCTGAAATGACCAAAAAATTGTAAGTCCTAAAGCCTTAAGAGTTTTTTGGCCAAAAAATACTTTCTCTCTGAACTAAAATTTAATGTGCCTAACTATTTAAGTACATCGAAATAATACACAAGCACCAAAAATGACCTGAAAACCCCGCCAAGTGGCGAGTAATTAGCATGGCAAAAGTAATTAAAATATTCTAAAAAATCATTTGAACATTTTCTAAAGTCATTTGAACAAGTCTTAATCAAGATATCAAATTTTGGTTTCTAGATCGTAAGCAGCACATTCAGGAGTACCTATACTGAAATTTTGAACAAATCCATTTTGGCCAATGACCAAAAATTGTAGTCCTAAAAGCCTTAAAGGATTTTGGCCAAAAATAC